TCCATGGCCTTCTGAATGGGAGATGATAGAAAGGCTCAGCACAGCAAGAAAGGAGACCTGAGGGTCACAAGTTACAACCTTTCCAAAGTTTGCTGGAAAGAGCATGGATAACCTGTATCTGACATGGGCTACAAAGTTTGTCTTTGAGTTAAAATCAGTGTGATCAGGAAGGGAACTTCAGTGCTTGTACAGGAGGATACAGTGTTTGGGATTTGACTGATTGAGACCTTTCAGTGTCTTCAATGAGGGAGATAATGTCCTATGACATGAGGAGGGTCTTATCTATTCATCATCTGGAGCCGTGACTGACACATAGCAGACATTCTACAACATTTACTGAATCAAACAAGAAATAAATGAACTCATCGCATGTTAAATGTTTATACACGTTCTGCCTAATACTAGCTTTTTCAGCACAGAAACTATGCCAGTCTATGCAGGGGGGAAGTGCAGGCAAAGAATTGTCAAACCTGGGCTGGAGGTATGGCTCAGGTGGTAGAGTACCAGCCAATGAGTAGAAGCAAGCATCAGATAGAAGTTTGAGTCCTTGTCTCTGACAAAAAAAGAAGAAAGAAGAAAAAAGAAAGAGAAGGAAGAAAAGGAGGAGGAGGAGGAGGAGGAGGAGGAGGAGGAGGAGGAGGAGGAGGAGGAGGAGGAGGAGGAGGAAGGAGAAGGAGAAGGAGAAGGAGAAGGAGAAGAAAAAAAGAAGAAGAAGAAGAAGAAGAAGAAGAAGAAGAAGAAGAAGAAGAAGAAGAAGAAGAAGAAGAAGAAGAAGAAGAAGAAGAAGAAGAAGAAGGAAGAAGAAGAAGAAGAAGAAGAAGAAAGAAGAAGAAGAAGAAGAAGAAGAAGAAGAAGAAGAAGAAGAAGAAGAAGAAGAAGAAGAAGAAAAGAAGAAGAAGAGCCCTTGTGGTTGCAGATCTAAAATCACATTCTCTGCCTTCTTTTATCTATTATTTGAAACATGCATTTGGATCATTTTCTGAAGTAGAAGGCAGAGGGTTTATTTGTTGGTCTTCCTATAGCTTTAATAATAATCTTTCCATTCTCTAAATTTAGATCCAATGTGATCACTAAATTAAAGAATCAGTTATGTTGGGTTGGGGAATATAGTTGATATAATGTGGTCCAGTCCCTCCATTCCCTCCCAATCACCAGAAAGCATGAAAAACTACAGTCCTTAGCCCCAAGTCTGGCAGAATTAGCTGTGGATTCCTAACACTGCAGTTCAATACTTCATTGCAGTTTGGCTCAGTGATCCAGCCAGAGGTAGAATAAAAGCCAGAAATACAAGCTTCTTTCTTTCAAAGATGCCTGCCACACAGGTCAGGGCAGAGCAGCAGCAAAAGGGGAGGAGAAGGGAAGTTTAATGTCAGCCTGACTTCATTTTACCAGAAATTTGAGTAGGAATTTCCTCTTTTTATGCTGACATGAGGAGTAGGGTCTGCTCATGCCATTGAACAATTATCCATCATCAGCAATGCTCATGTTCTCTATCTGAAAATCTCCCGAAAATCCACTACATTAACATTCTTACTGTCAGGATCATGCTTTTATGCAGATGTTGATATTTCTTCAGTAACTGGGTAGCATTTGATCATTACAGATGAAGCAATATGCAACATGGCTTCTTGCTGCTTCTAAATATTTTTTAAATATAGCAATAATCATTTTCCTTGTGGCTACAATTTTTGGAAAACTCTATCAGTTGTACATGAGTGAACCAACACACATAGCTACACACATATATACATAAACACCACACATATACGCACACATATACAAAGTATATAACATCAGCTCTTAAACTAGACAGGAAAGACACTGGAAGAAGAAAGTAATTGTTTTGTGTATCTTTTTAAATTTTTCTGAATATATGATAAGGTTGGTTTAATGATAGAACCACGAAATCTTATCTGTTGTGAAAGTTAATTTATTATTTTATATGTCAGACTCTGTAAAACTGTGAGTGGACACCTTTGGAGGATTTGTCCAAATTAATAAACTTCTTGATGCCTCAAAGTTACCCAAAACATCATAATAAAATGTGCATTGCTTGTCATGACTTCTGTTTCATCAGAAGCATCTGCAGGCTTTGCTGGCTGACGCTAAATTCCAGCAACCATTTATTTAGAGATCCCTCATCAAAGAACTTAATGATGCATATAATACAGATCAAAGGAATCAGTTTTACAAGTTTGGTTTTGATTTTATGAACGTTGTACCCTCCACCTGGAATAGTCCCCATAACCAAAGCCTGCCAGACTGGAAAGAAATCCTTGAGGTTACTTATACATGGGAGCATGGACATATGGAATTATCTAAGGTCATTCCTCACTACTTAATAATAAAACTGAGATAAGAACACTTCTAACCCCCAGTCCTTCCATGTACCCATCCTTTCAGTCCCATCTTTTCATGTCACCTTCTGCCACCTCCTATTACTCCTCACTTTTATGAAGCCCTTACTTAGTCTACACTGTGCCATTTAGTATTTGGTGAAGAAAACATTTCACTGTTACTGACCAAATTATATTCTAATGATGTAACTCCCAGGAGATAAATATCTCAGAATAACAGAAAGCTCTGATTTCTACTCATCTCTCCTCCACAGTGCCTAGAAAAATCATGTCCTCTACTTTCCATTTTCTGAAATGGTTCTTTCTCCTTCCATGAGTTCAACAACACTTTGCTCCTTACCAGCCGCAGTAGCACAAACTTTCATCACCATGACTTTGCAACCACTGATTTGCATTCCGTGGTGTGAACACACACCACATAGACCATAATCTGCATCCAGCTCATCGGCAGTGACCATCGTCCTGCTTCTGGCCTCGGAAACATCAGCACATCCTTCTCTCCGAGTCTCCTATCACACAGAGCTCCCGTATGCTACATTTCACTTACTCTAACAACACCTGCTTTGGTCAACCCTCACTGTCACCTTCATAGACACTCTAGTCTCTTGTGTAAGCTAATGTTTCATTTCTTTTCCTGTTTTTAATTTTTTTCTTTTTTTTTTTTCAAATTTTTCTGTCAGTTATGAGGCTTAAATCCAGGGCCAGGACACTGTCCCTGACCTTTATTGCTCTAGGCAACACTCTACCACTTGCAGCCATAGCACCATTCTGCTTTGTTTTGTTTGTGGTTGGTTAACTGGAGATAAGAATCTCACAGATTTTCCTGCCCAGGCTGGCTTTGAACCACAATCCTCAAATCTCAGCCTCCTGAATAGGTGGAGGCATCAGCACCCGGCTTCATTTCTGTTCTTACTTTGAACTACAAAGTTTTATATAAGCGTGTAACTGCCTTTACCTCTTTGACACAGTTAGGACAATTTCTGCTTCAGCTCTTATTCTAAGACCATAGATCTCCTCCTTGGGCAATCTACAAGCCTCTTCTTTTACTTTCTTCCCTTTGTTCTTTCTGATACTATATTTGATTCTCTTCTTTTGGCTACCCCTCCTTTCTCAATCTCCTATCAGTGCCTTCTCTATCAATCTTTGCTCTCTTTCGTGTGCTCCCAGCAAGGAACCTCTAAAATTAATCTCACCTGAATGGAAATAGTACTACAAGTCAGCCACTATGATATTCATCCTATCTTTAAGGACAGCTGCCTATATTGTCTTTGGAAAACCTTCAAATTCATTTATGAGCCCTATACCTTCCCAGCAAAGTCAGTTAGCAAAGCATACCAACTTGAAACAAGCCCACATTGTTCACCAAAATGTGCTCAGATGTCATGTCATTCCAGAAGTGTGTATGTGCACAAAGCATAGGGAGTAAGTAGCCAGGAGCCCTGGGATTCATATCACTGTTTGGAAAGAAGCAAGAGAACCATGGTGAAATGACAGAGGTTCAAGTATTGTCTTTGGCCCATTGATCCTAGTTCTATAAGTTCAATCTGAGGAATATCCAGTTATGCCTATGCACATAATTAATGAAAAGATGCTCTTGTAAATGGTTTGTAAATCTATGGAAGTAAGTAAAAACAAATCTTAACATCTTACAATAGATTAACTCAATTATGGCTCATCCATGTAAGCCATTAGCAAATGATGTTGACAGAAGAGTATCAGATAACACACAAAGATGAGTAAGCTACATTAATAATTGAAAAAAATCTTTGTGGAACAAAACATATAGATGTATCTGTGTTTATAAATACACATGATGAGAACTGGAAGGCTAGCACAATATTAACAGTTGGCTCTGAAAGTACATTATGAATTTTCACTTTTTTCTCTAGCTTTAAATGTCTCCCTATACCAGTTATATAACAGGAAGATATGTCACAACACACACCACACACACACACACACACACACACACACACACACACAGAGGGGTAAGCTTTGTGAGTGGAGACAATATGACAGCTAGAAGCATGGTTAGATAACTAGCAAGATAGACCGATGACTAATAGATGATGATCATTAATACATAAACAGATAATAGATGATGAGAGATGGATGACAGATAATAGGAAAGAAGACAGATGATAGATAATAGATAGATAGATAGATAGATAGATAGATAGATAGATAGATAGATAGATAGATAGATAGATGAGAAGATTTAGACAAGTAGCTGATAGGCAGATAGATGATTGATGGATGGTAAGGGATGGGTGATAGATAATAGTAGATAGATGGATAGATACATACATACTTAGAGAGAGATTAGATAGATAGACAGATAGATAGATAGATAGATAGATAGATAGATAGATAGATAGATAGATAGATAGATAGATAGATAGATAGATAGATAGATAGATAGATAGATGGATGGCAGGGATGGATGGATGGATGGATGGATGGATGGATGGATGGATGGATGGATGGATGGATGGATGGCAGGGATGGATAACCTCCACATCCAGGAGGCAGATGGAGTAAGATACTTGTGGAGGAGCACTGAGCACTTGCTGCATGAGCAAATGAGTGAACACAAGGGTACATCCTGGCCTTGGCATCTTAGCCTGTCCTTTCTGCCATCAGGTGGACGCCCATGGCAACATTCTCCTCAGCACCCTGGAGATCAGGAACGAGACGAGCGGCTCAGAAGTGCTCACGGGCGTGAGCGACCCCAAGGCCACCATGTATTCGTACGACAGTGCCAGCATCCAGTACCGCAAACCGCTGAGCAGCAGGGAGGGGTACGGGCGCGCGCTGGACCGGCACGCGGTGCCCAGCAAGGGCCGCATCCGCAGGCGCGCCTCCCAGCTCAAAGTCAAAATCCCGGACTTGACTGATGTGAACTCCATTGACAAGTGGTCCCGAATGTTTTTCCCCATTACCTTTTCTCTCTTCAATGTCGTCTACTGGCTTTACTATGTACACTAAGATCTGCCCAATGGTTTGGTTGAGACTACTTTTTCTTCTCTTGTTTATTAACCCCACAGGTCCCAACAGCGATACTGCTGTGCTTTTTGAGGTAAGAGATTCAGCCATCCAATTGGTTTTTGAGTCTTGCATATCGATTTTATTATTACACCGTGTTTACTTCAAAAACAAAACTATTTTTTCCAGTCTACTGTGGTCCAGGTTATCAGCTCTTTCAGAGCTCTATTAATTGCCATGTTTACAAACAAACCCAAAAAGAAGTTAGATAGACCTTTAGCTGTCTCTCCTAGTTGCCCGGGATTTTATTGAATTATTTTTTTAAAAGAAAAGGAAATGAAGACCTCCCTATGGGTCGGTATTAACTTCCTGGTAAACTGTAACAATCTCATGCTGCCAAAACAAACAAACAAACAAACCCACAATTTCCAAGATCTCAGAAGACAAAACAAAGCCATTGAAAAGTTACAGATTTCCAGGAAGAAGGCAAAACAAAACAAAACAACCAAAACGCATGAAAAAGAAAAGGAAATTTCCCTCCACTCTATTCCCCCCAAGTCCCTTGTAGACTGCCTCCTTAGCTCCCCCAAAAGAGGAGAGAGATCAGCAAATGCTGGTCGTCCAGGTTACAGCAAACTCAACCTGCCAACTTCACCTACCATTAGGAGGGATCACCTTACAAATGCCTCTTAGACTTCTTGGCAAATGTTTAACATTAGAGTCTGGTTTGGTCAACTTGGTAGCCATTGAGATCATTTTTTTTTTTCTGACTGTCCACTTCCCATGAGAAGCCTTGAACACACTCCATGAGCCTCGAAGCTTTTCAAGCTATGCCATGCTCTCACATTTCCATAATTCTTCCTCCAGAGAAACAAAGAGAAAGACTGGGGCAGACTGAAGGCAATAGGAAGTGATTTTTGTCTGAGGAACATACTTCCCTTTCCACAAGGAAGGCAAGACTTATGTGCTGTGAAAGGGTGCCTGGGCAGTGGTCTGAACTGCCAATTCTTAAAATCAACTAGTATATACTTCTTAGCCTTCCAGAAAGCAGGATCTGCCTGGGACCAGCTACTCACACAAGACTCCAATGGCCCTCTATGGCTCTACACTCTGCACTTTGCATTGCAAACTAGGGAAGAAATGATCCAGGAAATGATCTACCCTCACCCAGGTTGGTATCCTTCTCCAAAACCAGATTTCCCTCTTAAGAACACAATCTGAAGCAACAAAAACATAGATTAGAAGCAACAAGGGAGAAAGCATTGAGCCTTGAAACATGTGCACGAGCCCCGGCATACATAGATCTTGTCTATGCTCATCCATCGCTGTCTCCTTTAATGCTCTCCTTTATTTCTCAGAAAGGTTATTCTAGGCCATGGTTCTCATGACTATCACTAACACAACACAGTTCTAACTGTGTCCAGTCAGCTACAGTTAAGATCCTTCTCATTTTCCATCATTAAAACTATTTTGTTTCCACTTGGAATCTGTAATAATTTCATACGTGAATTTTTTAGGTTGGGTCAGGTTTTAAATTAACCAACCAGTGACAGAGGTGGATTGTCATCTGATCCAAGGATGGGAAATACTGCACATACTACAGTAGAACTAGCTGTCCCTAAAGCCATAGAGAGGATCTATGTCTAGAATAGCCTGAACTGCTGGAAATTAGAGTCACAATTGGAAAGATAAGGTTGAATTCCTACTCATGACCACAAGGGAAGAGAGTAATGAGATAGTCTTTTAGAAAGCAAGAGGAAATGGAAACCAGCAAATAGATGAATAGGTATAGCTTAACATGGTATACATTAGTAAGAACATTAGAATTCACCTGGAAAAATGATCTCAATGGTTTTATGAGGGATTGATAGGGATGTGGGGACCAAATTTTTGTTTAAACTTTCAATCCTACGAGTACACTTCCTTGGTCAAGGTACCGGCCCCCTACACCTGCATCCTGAGGGAATTATGTCATCTATTTGAAACTCTCTCAGTCCCTCGCTGAGTGTGATGCTTTGTCATTGTAAAATGCCCAAATAGAATACGTGTAGCCATGTGAGTAATTGTTAAGGTTTTTATTCCCAGTGACCACCCAGAAACGACGGTGCAGTCATTTATTTTAAAGACAGGAAGTGAAATTTGGGGCTAATGTCTAGCAGAAATGACTCCTTCTGATGTCAACACTGTTTAGAAAGCTTTTAATGATGAAATGCAAAAATCAGAAAGGAAATATCTGTAATACATGTCCATTCACAAAATAATTTCTCTTTAATTGTTTAGATCATTCTTCTTGGGAAAAAAAGTTGAGGTAATGTGTATTTTTATTATTACTTTTATCTTGCCTTTAAAAAAATCTAAAAGCATTTGCTTGCTATAATTTTAGATGGAAAGCACCTTGGGGGGGGGGCGGAATAAAAATGAACTCTTGTATCTTAAGCTTTGTAAAGTGCAAAATCATTAAGTCTGAATCTACCCATTGGGCACAAATGTTTATTATCATCTGAGTAGTCCGGGCATTGTAGCTACTATTATGCAAATCCTACCAAATCTCTCTGGGTTGGGAGGCAATGGCAGACAGAAGAATTGAAAAGCTGTCATGCTTGTAGGTAATGATCTCTGTTCCCTTTTTCCTTCTTTTGGATACTTCCCAGACATATCCTTTTCTTACTGGCCCCTATCCCAGCTAAATCCTCCCATTGTAGGCTGAAAAGTCCATCAGGGGAAAAAAAATCCTCTGGCTGTATGCCTTGTCTTAACCAAAATGACATACATAAATCATAAAAGTTCCAAATCATTCCTAAGTGCCCCTTTTCTTGAAAGATTCAGAATATTACATTATCCAAGGGTTATTTAACTAATACTGGGTTGTTTTTCTTTTTGCCATAAAAATAGCTGTAAATCTTGAAGTGGCATCAGAGTCTGAGAAAGGCACAGACTCGCTCTCTTAATGCCATAGCCACGTCCAGAAAACCCCATGTTTGGTTCATCTGTGACACAAATTGTATTAACTTAACCTGTGTAGACCCAGAAGACATCCCTTGTTTCACTTGACCATGATGACTCCACATTCATTACCTTCTGTTCATTCTTCCTTGGCTTAAAGTGTCAGGGTGGTGGCATGCATGATCATTACCAGCTTTGTGAGGCAAAGACCCAGGTAAAGACTTAGTTTTACTTGACTTACCCAGGATTACTATCTGTATCCTCTCCATAGCTAAATAGAAACCACAGCTTCTTGTTAGTACTGTTGCAGACTGACTGAAGTGTGTTCTTACATATACCATCATTATTGTGCATTAAAGTCAATGAAGGATCTTGAAAACAACAGAAATATGTGTGGCACAGAGAATAAAGTTTGCTTGAAAGGTCCAAGAATAGGTTTTCTTTAAATATCAATATGTGTGTGTGTGTATAATCCACAGAAATGTTGACTCAATTCCATCTTTCTAAAATCAATGACTATTTACAAATATTCATTTAGGAAAGAGCTCAATCAAAATTTGTGACATGAAAGCAAAAAGAATATATGTGTAATGCTTCTAGAAAGGAACGATCTCCAAGATTCTTATGTGGACAGTCTCAAATGGTATCTTACTAAAGTGTGACATGCACCTTTTTATTTCCCTCAATGAAGTGTAATCATAAATCCCAGGAGGGAGGAAAAAGGAATGGCCAAGCATTCTCTCATGTTGGTTCAATCAACATTTATTGTGATACAGAAAGCAGGAAGAAAAAAAAAAAGTACCTGTTTCCTGAAAGTAAGCAGATAACACAAAGATAAATTTGTTAAAGAGATGTAGACAATTCTGTAAACTTCCTTGTAAATTCTGTACATAGTTCATTGAACTGTTCTCTGTGGTGTGGTGGTCCTCAACTTTGGGTGGATGTTTGAAAACAACCCTGAGCTTTGTAAATAATGTAAGCTTATAAAGCATTTGCTTTTATTCATGAAATGACATGACCAGTGATTTGGGCCCAAACCAGAATTTTTGCAGCCCTTGCTCTTTCTCTGCTGTTTTGTGTATACAGTTATGTAAATCTGCTGTAAGCCATAGCCAGGTGTCTGTGATTGCTGCCTCATGCTCTTACCCCACTGAACAGGACAGCAGACTCTGAAAAGGCTGCAAGTCTGTGGGCCCGGGAACAGTGCACCAGCAGAAACAGGAACTGGGGCAAGCTGCTCCTGAACTGTGGCATGAACATAGATGTGTTATTGTCAGTCACTTGTGGCTACTCATATCTTTTAATACTGAATTATCCATGCTGCTGAGAGGGTCAGGAATGGAAGAAATTCTCAAAATCTAGAGATGATTTAAAGCTTCATTTGAACCACTAGCTTTAGCTCCTACCTTCTCTTCCGCTATTTCCTCAAACTTCTAATAACAATGAAAGGGCATAGGAGGAAAGGGTTTGATCAGTGTAGACATAAATAAGGAGGAGCAAGGAAGAAAGAGTTAAGTGGCCTTGATACATAAGCTGCTTCATTCCCCAAAGACACCGAGGTGACTGTGTTGTTACTATTTAAAGGTAAAGAGAAACAGTGTATGAATTGAACATTAAAACATGGATTTTCCAACTTAGGGTAGGATTATGTGTGGTATGTACTAGTTACACTCACAAGAGAGTCTGACAACACGTTCTCAAAGATATTTTCCCCAAGCGTTGGTGTTCATGAAAGTGTCCAGAATGGTGGGATATTATGTCATAAGATGTGTTTCCATGCAAACTGGCAGAGAGGGTGGGTATATCAGGAGAAATTCAGAATATACACGCAATAGGAAATAGGGATTTGCTTCTTAGAAATGTATTGACTAGAATAGTATCTTTTTTAGAGATGAGAAACAAGGAACGTGGGGTTTTTTAAGCATTTTAAGTGCTAGGAGAATATACGCAGGGAGTCATCATTATGAGACATTTTGGTCCCAAAACTTTGCCCACCAGGATCCACCATTAATTAAGAAAAAGGCTTTGTTTGAGCTAACCTGATTAGTCAATTAAGTACAGAACACAATGTGCTTATTTTCTCAAAGCTTCTTTTAGAAAGCTTAGATAGAAAATGTAACTGTTGGCAACCATAATTCCCCAAGAAAGTCTCTGAAAATGTTCTCATAAAACTAATGTAAATCCAAAAATGCTATTTTCTGGAAAAATAAAAATGAAGAGTTTTGTGTTTC